TAACTTTGTTTGAATCATGTTATATACAGTAATTAGTCATCTAATTCAATGTGAAACCTACTAGCTCCCCTTGTTCTCCAGTTTATAGACTTTAGGAATTACTGAGATGCTAAGAGTAACTTCAAGCGTTTTGAATTTTTCAGATCTTTGGAAACGTTGGAAGATTTTAGTGTTTTAGAGCAACTGATTCTAGACAACAACGAACTCAATGATAATGCAAATTTCGTGAGAAACCCTCGTCTACAAACACTTTCCCTCAATAAAAACAAGGTTATATTTTTTAACCAAACATACGTTTTGAGATTTAAACCGGACGAATATTTCTTTTTACATTTTTATTATTTAATTCGGATATATTTAGACTGATAAGAGGAAAGCTAATTCGAATCTTAAACAAGCCTAAAATTTTTCCATGAGGACTTTAACCCGCATCTTTAAGTTTGTTACATTTTCTTGTTAGAATATTAGTTTTCCTTACTGTAAAAATATGTTCGTACAAAATTCATATTCATCTGTACGTGTACTATATTTAGTGCACGTTAAGAACATGCGATTTATCTTTAAGACATTTGTTAGCTATTAATAATCATTCCACAGATTTTTTTTTCCTCTATAGATTACTGATTTGGATGGACTACTGAATCAGTTAGCAAGCTGTTACCCGAATCTGACTTACTTAAGTCTTCTGGGTAATCCAGCTTGCCCTGATCAACTCTCCAACTTGGAAAAGGACGAAGACGATTATCAACGATACAGGTATATTAGTGTTTTTGTGCGTATATGAATATTTTACCAAATGAAAAATACCCTCAGTTCGTAAGGCACATTTAATGAACAAATTACTGTATATATTATAGGTTTCAATAATCGAATACTCGAAGTTCATGAGCAAACTAAAACCTAATGGCTACACATTGAATTCAATGATTTTATGGGCATCCTTGAGTACAAAAAATATTCAACTTTTCCAGATATGCGAATATCACGTGTAAGGAATAACGAAATATACGTAATAGTCACATACCTGATTTATTAGTTGAAAGACATGCTCAGTTAACTGTGGAGAAAAGGTTACTGAACTAATAGATTTTGTGACTTGTGTTAGTTCGATTCACGTGCCATGAATGTCCTATCTAAAATCTAGCGTCTTTCCATTTTACATGCTTGACTCCATAATACTTCACGCCTGTTAAACGTGAAATGGCAACAATATTTTTATGTGTAAAATAATATTTAGCATACAAATACTTATCAAGTATTTAAACGTTGATTATTTTTCACTCTTTATTACCCCTAAGAATATTTCCAAAATTGACTGGCTAGTTCATATCTTCTAGCGACAAGTTTGATGTGAAAGGTAATTCATTTACATTTATTAACAGTGTTTTTTGAGGGTTTTAACGATACTGACAAATGCCCGCACAGATTCACAAACCAGCGGAAAATGGTTTGTAATATAAACGAAATAATTTGCCCTATGTACTTTTGCTGAAGCTACTAATAACATTTAATATTTGGGCTAAAAGTTTATTATGTAATTCATTTAACCAAAGGGTAAAATGACACTACCAGGAAACTGGATAACAAAAGATTAGTTATCGGTGACTGCATAGCTGACTTTATAAATAGATTCAAAACGTATATTTCTTATGTCATATGTATTAAATGTCAATTCATGAAAGGAGCGAAACGCTTTTGTAGCCATAATAACTTCTTTTTTAACATCAAATAATCTAAAAAAATTAAGTTTTAACAAATATATTATCCCAAAAGCACTGTAAGCAACATGTTATATAATGCGAAATATTTACTTAAAATGTAGAATAAAAAAATACATACAGAGATTTTCTTGTTCACGCTTAATTTCACTTTAAATTATATTAGAACATATCAATAGTGAAATTTAATTTAGAGTTATTATACGTATTTGTTAATTTATATTTTGTAGTTTGAATTCCATTCTAAAGTTAATTCTACTTTATTAAACATTCGTCTTGTTTCAAATGAATTAAGGCTGAGTGCTAGAGCAATGTGGACATTCTTATAACCAAAACAGGATCAGAATCAAGAACTTCAGATTGGTTTATCATATAATACTCTTTCTGGTTCTACATATGTATATATATATATACATAATTTTTCTCATTACTTTATAACGTTATTGCATTTTAATCCCCCAATTCGATTTAAAGGCTTAGTTTTTACCTGATAGCATTGTAACTCAGATCCAGACTTTTCGTTTGCATTCCATATGCATTCGCTAGTATAGACGGGATGCGTCGGCAATCTTGGCTAATATACGATAGCTGTGAAATAAACTGGTATTAAAGATAAGATTCTACTATAGTTTTATTGATAAAAAGATAAAAATTAAATAGAAAGAGGTGTATTAATCGACTATAATTAACTTTATGCAATTTTAAGTGTGAAATTACAGCTTTCTGAAGAAATTAAAATTAAGAACGGATTAGGACTCGTACTTTGTTTTGCTTTGAATTTCGCGCAAAGCTACACGAGGGCTATCTGCGCTAGCCGTCTCTAATTTAGCAGTGTAAGACTAGAGTGAAGGCAGCTAGTCGTCATCACCCACCGTCAACTCTTGGGCTACTCTTTTACCAACGAATAGTGGCATTGACCGTCACATTATAATGCCCCCACGGCTGAAAGGGTGAGCATGTTTGGTGTGACGGGGATTCGAACCCGCGACCCGCAGAGTGCGAGTCGAGTGCCCTAACCACCTGGCGATGCCGGGCCCAGGACTCGTACTAGCGACTGAGCAGATGCTTCAACTAGTTAAGTTCGAATTTCTAATGCCGCCAATCTCAGTTTTCATTTGGATAAGAATTTGGATTAAAAACTTATTTACAGATTCTGGTGTCTTGTGGCTGTAGTCTGTACGTATGAAAAGTATTAAAAAGGGTGTACAGTTGCATAATATTTACTGTGAACTCCTGTATTTTACCAATGATCACAAATAACGTATTTTTTTATCAAAAATACAGTGTATCAATACTATATTCTGAACAATATTTAGAAGGATAATCAAAATTTCATTTATCACAAAATATACCATAATTAAATTCCTGTTATTAATAGATGGCTACAGATTAAATAAATGCATATATAATATATATTTTTGTTGCAAATCTAGGAGTAATTACATTCCTGAAAATTAACATAAACTGGTATTTTTTTAAAAATTTGTGGCAATAATGATATTGTAGTTATTTTACAGGTAACCAAAATTTATTTTTCAACTGTGATATCTATAAATAAGTTTAATTAAGAAGTAAGTTCAATTCGCAAAATAATACAAAAAAGCAGCTTCGGTATGTGAACAATAATTTCTAATAATAACGAGCCATAATTAATAAACAGAAACAAAGAAAACTGACAATGCTTTATTTCCATTTCCGACTCTTTCTTTTCTGCGTTACTACACATTAATTTAGACACTTCTATTGTCTCCGTAGTAAAGAGCACTAGAAAATTTGAGAATTAAGATTTTTGCCTCTAGTATATTAAAACAAGTTATTTTGTTTTATAAACAACAGAAAAAATTACTGCTAATACATGCATATTACACATTTATCAG